TCGGTCTCCATTATCGACACTTCAGCGGCTCAGCCTACCTACATACGTGTCGCGCTTGGATACGCTGCAATGCGTCTTCATGTCATATGTCAGGTTTGTAGAGGTATCGCAGCGATGTCGCTACCAGCAGCTACACACCTCCGTCTTGAGGATGTAAGGTCATTATAGGGATGCCACTGTATAGAGACTCAGTGATGTCATACAATTCCGTCACTTATGAACCGTACGTGCCACCACCTATCGGACAGCCATTGAACTAATAGTTTACAGCTTGTACAACAGATGTCACTATTTTGGATGATACGGTCTTGGATGCTGCGGTGCCAAAAATGTTTTTTGGATGATACGGTTTTGGATGCTGCACCCTTGGATGTTTCACTGTTGGATGCTGCAATTCCTCGTCCTTGGTTGCTGCCAATTTGGATGATACGATTTTGGATGCTGTGGTCCTGGATGTTGCAGTTTTGGATGTTTCGCTCTTGGATGCTCTGAATCATCCCTAAGGGGTCGGTTTTGGATGTTATTTGGACGTTTTGATCGCTGGATGCTAAGGTTTTGGATGTTGCGTCCCTTGGATGCTGCGCTCTGCGTATATTCGAATGCAGTATGAGTAGAGCATGGGTCCCGAAAAATTCTTCAGAAACTAGAGAAATTCTCGCGGGGCAGGACGTCTGTCAAACTAGCAGCGAGCAGCGAGCAGCGAGTCCAGCAGCGAGAAACGGGCCATCCCGATTTAGCTGGAAATTTGCTCACAGAGCCTTCTCAGCACGCTGATTCCGAAAATCATGGTCTCTTGGGTGGGAATCTTTACCGTTCTCGAGATAGAACCCTCTAAAGTTTTCGACACCCATGACCGGGCCATCCCGATTTGGCTGAAAATTGGCTCACAGAGCCTTCTCAGCACGCTGACTCCGAAAATCATGGTCTCTAGAGTGGGAATCTTTACCGTTCTCGAGATAGAACCCTCTATAGTTCTTACCACCCATGACCGGGCCATCCTGATTTGGCTGAAAATTTGCTCACAGAGCCTTCTCAGCACGCTGATTCCGAAAAACATGGTCTCTAGGGTGGGAATCTTTACCGTTCTCGAGATAGAATCCTCTAAAGCTCTTACCACCCGTGACCGGGCCATCCCGATTTGGCTAAAAATTGGCTCACAGAGCCTTCTCAGCACGCTGATTCCGAAAATCATGGTCTCTAAGGTGGGAATCTTTACCGTTCTCGAGATAGAACCCTCTAAAGTTTTCGACACCCATGACCGGGCCATCCCGATTTGGCTGAAAATTGGCTCACAGAGCCTTCTCGGCACGCTGACTCCGAAAATCATTGTATCTAGAGTGGGAATCTTTACTGTTCTCGAGATAGAACCCTCTATAGTTCTTACCACCCATGACCGGGCCATCCCGATTTGGCTGAAAATTTGCTCACAGAGCCTTCTCAGCACGCTGATTCCGAAAATCATGGTCTCTAGGGTGGGAATCTTTACCGTTCTCGAGATAGAACCCTCTAAAGCTCTTACCACCAATGACCGGGACATCCCGATTTGGCTAAACATTGGCTCACAGAGCCTTCTTAGCACGCTGATTCCGAAAATCATGGTCTCTAAGGTGGGAATCTTAACCGTTCTCGAGATAGAACCCTCTAAAGTTTTCGGCACCAAAGACCGGGCCATCCCGATGTGACTGAAAATTGGCTCACAGAGCCTTCTCAGCAAGCTGATTCCGAAAATCATGGTCTCTAGGGTAAGAATCTTTACCGTTCTCGAGATAGAACCTCTAATTTTCTTACCACCCATGACCGGGCCATCCCGATTTGGCTAAAAATTGGCTCACTCACAGAGCCTTCTCAGCACGCTGATTCCGAAAATCATGGTCTCTAGGGTGGGAATCTTAACCGTTCTCGAGATAGAAACCTCTAAAATTTTCGACACCCATGACCGGGCCATCCCGATTTGGCTGAAAATTGGCTCACAGAGCCTTCTCAGCACGCTGACTCCGAAAATCGTGGTCTCTAGGGTGGAAATCTACCGTTCTCGAGATAGAACCCTCTAAAGCTCTTACCACCTATGACCGGGCCATCCCGATTTGACTGGGATGGCCCGGTCGATTTGACAGACCATGATTTTCGGAATCAGCCGCAGCGTGCTGAGAAGGCTCTGTGAGAAAATTTTCAACCAAATCAGGATGGCCTGGTCATGGGTGTCGAAAACTTTAGAGAGAGGGTTCTATCTCCAGAAGGGTTAAGATTCCCACCCTAGAGGCTATGATTTTCGGAATCAGCGTGCTTAGAAGGCTCTGTGAGCAAATTTTCAGCCAAATCGGGATGGCCCGGTCTTTGGTGTCGAAAACTTTAGAGCATTCTATCTCGAGAACGGTGAAGATTCCCACCCTAGAGACCATGATTTTCGGAATCAGCGTGCTGAGAAGGCTCTGTGAGCAAATTTTCAGCCAAATCGGGATGGCCCGGTCATGGGTGGTAAGAATTTTAGAGGGTTCTATCTCGAGAACGGTAAAGATTCCCACCCTAGAGACCATGATTTTCGGAATCAGCGTGCTGAGAAGGCTCTGTGAGCCAATTTTCAGCCAAATCGGGATGGCTTGGTCATGGGTGTCGAAAATTTTAGAGGTTTCTATCTCGAGAACGGTTAAGATTCCCACCCTAGAGACCATGATTTTCGGAATCAGCGTGCTACATGGTGTGTCAAAAGTGGAAATAGCCGCCCGGCTTTAGTTCGCCAGCCTTGTCAATAGATGGCAGTACCACAATATGGGCAGCGGATCGTGCAATCGACGTCAAATTTTCGTTATCTGCTAAGAATTGAATGGCGGATCTTTTCATGCAAGAATCAAGTAAATCGGTCCACAACTTTTCTAGAAACAGAGATATGAAGTCAAACAACCTGCCAGAAAGGCGGCGCGGCGGCCGCGCCGGCGGCAGCCGTTACGCGCCGCCTGGGAGACTGGCGGCGCTGAACGGTTCCGAATTGGCACTGCACTAAAACCTGTTAACTGCTTGGAATAGTTATTATAGTAAAATTTTCATTCAAGTGAGGAATAACCAAGGGCAGGAAGTATGTATGCTTGTGTGCGTACTATGTAAGCCAAGAAACTGCATTAGCAGATACTCGCTAATATTAGATCCAGCCAAGTCCAAACGCATTCCAGGTGATGTGTTTCTGATGGGTCAACAATGTTTATCGTTCGAGGGCGGATACAGTTTTAACAATACAAAAAATATTTTTGCACAGCTCTATTCCTTGAATAATTCTCTTCAACGCCTCATTCCTAGTTAAGCGAATTAGCCCACCCTGGTTGAATAAATAAGGCGATTTCGTCACAAGGTCGGGGAAAACCGACCGAAAACGGCCGCGCTCAATGTTAATTTGGGCATGCAGACTCTTAAAAACTCGCATTGGGCGGGCAGGGTTTCCCAGGTATTGGCTCCAAAACACCGTATTCGGCTCCCGAATACGTCCATGTGACCCGCCTCGTTCCTAGTTAAGCTCTAATAAGATCAAGTGACTCATAGGGAGCGAAAAAGCGACAAAAAGCATGAATTTCCCTATGGCGGCGGGCTGCCGGGTTGCCAGACGGCGCACCGGCTATTTCCACTTTTGACACACCATGAGAACTGAGAAGGATCTGTGAGCAAATTTTCAGCCAAATCGGGATGGCCCGGTCATGGGTGGTAAGAAATTTAGAGGGTTCTATCTCGAGAACGGTAAAGATTCTCACCCTAGAGACCATGATTTTCGGAATCAGCTTGCTGAGAAGGCTCTGTGAGCCAATTTTCAGTCAAATCGGGATGGCCCGGTCTTTGGTGCCGAAAACTTGAAAAAAAAGGGTGCCGAAAAAAAGGGTTCTATCTCGAGAACGGTAAAGATTCCCACCCTAGAGACCATGATTTTCGGCATCAGCGTGCTGAGAACTAAGGCTCTGTGAGCCAATTTTTAGCCAAATCGGGATGGCCCGGTCATGGGTGGTAAGAGCTTTAGAGGGTTCTATCTCGAGAACGGTAAAGATTCCCACCCTAGAGACCATGATTTTCGGAATCAGCGTGCTGAGAAGGCTCTGTGAGCAAATTTTCAGCCAAATCGGGATGGCCCAGTCATGGGTGGTAAGAACTATAGAGGGTTCTATCTCGAGAACAGTAAAGATTCCCACTCTAGAGACCATGATTTTCGGAGTCAGCGTGCTGAGAATGCTCTGTGAGCCAATTTTCAGCCAAATCGGGATGGCCCGGTCATGGGTGTCGAAAACTTTAGAGGGTTCTATCTCGAGAACGGTAAAGATTCCCACCTTAGAGACCATGATTTTCGGAATCAGCGTGCTGAGAAGGCTCTGTGAGCCAATTTTTAGCCAAATCGGGATGGCCCGGTCATGGGTGGTAAGAGCTTTAGAGGATTCTATCTCGAGAACGGTAAAGATTCCCACCCTAGAGACCATGATTTTCGGAATCAGCGTGCTGAGAAGGCTCTATGAGCAAATTTTCAGCCAAATCGGGATGGCCCGGTCATGGGTGGTAAGAACTATAGAGGGTTCTATCTCGAGAACGGTAAAGATTCCCACTCTAGAGACCATGATTTTCGGAGTCAGCGTGCTGAGAACTGAGAAGGCTCTGTGAGCCAATTTTCAGCCAAATCGGGATGGCCCGGTCATGGGTGTCGAAAACTTTAGAGGGTTCTATCTCGAGAACGGTAAAGATTCCCACCCAAGAGACCATGATTTTCGGAATCAGCGTGCTGAGAAGGCTCTGTGAGCAAATTTCCAGCTAAATCAGGATGGCCCGTTTCTCGCTGCTGGACTCGCTGCTCGCTGCTCGCTGCTAGTTTGACAGACGTCCTGCCCCGCGAGAATTTCTCTAGTTTCTGAAGAATTTTTCGGGACCCATGCTCTACTCATACTGCATTCGAATATACGCCTGCGCTCTTGGATGCTTCAATACTCACCCGCTCCAACACTACCACAAGTGTGACGTCAGCTCGCGCAATTTGATAGCAGCGTGGTAGCAGCAGCCCGTGAAACACCGCCCTTCGGGCAGCGCATCCACCAATTGTAAAATTGTAAAATTTACAATTGGTTTACTATTGTAATTTTATTTACTATTGTACTAAATTTACTATTGTAAAATTTTCTCTCCACCAAGCCAACCAACCAAGCCGTAATCCCTAGCAAATCCTTAAGTAACCAACAAAAATTAGTAACCAAGCTAGTCACATTTAACAAATTAGAAATTAGAAAAGAATCTACGACAACCTCGTACCTTGGTCATACCTACAAGAATTAGGAGTGGTATTGAGGAAAGAGTCTCCTTAATCCATTTGTGTTGCGATTTCATCTCAATCTCCAAATACGCAGTACGCGCTAAGTCAGGACACCTCTTGGCTCTCCCTAGTCCTGCTAGTGTGAACAGCTGGCAGCTGCCACCAAGGCCCTAAAACATAGCCGCCACTGGCAGCCACATATTGATGTACTGCCTTGGCTGCCGCGAAGTTGAAGTGTTTAAGTCAAACAGTGCACAAGTTGATAAGGTTATGACTTACGAGGCATAATACATGTAGGGTAGGGGACATAAAAGGTTTTGTATAGCCTTGGCATAGGTAATGTATGCATTTTGTATATTGATGTGCATGTATATGTAGTATGTACGCAACAGTCATGAGCTTATTTATGGTGCAAGGAGAATGATTAATTGTCATGCCTTAGCTTAAAACATTTGGTTCAAGCATTTGGTGACAAATGATAAGTACTTATGGGTAGGCTGCAGTCTAGACCAAAGCTCTAGAGCTAGGAGACCTTTGGCAATCACAAGGGAATATAATAATTTTACTTGTTCCCCTTACAGCAGTTCGAATTGCAATAGCCAGATGTCTCAACAGGCAATATTCACATTACATGTTTTTTTTACGTGTTATGGTTCAAATCACAATGAACATACCTTTCTTCAATACACTGACACATTGTCAGTTTACATGTTGCTTCTAAACAGTTGGTGTTTGCACCAATATCAATGTTTGTCTTCTTCAGACTCCTCCCAAAATCCAACTCATGTTGATGTTCTGATGAGGCCGAGGGAGGAGAATATTGGCAGTGATTGTTGGATCAGCAGAAGCGTGGAGGAGTGAGGGAATTTTTATGAGAACTGGTTAGAGGGACTGAGTGGAATTCAAAGGATTTGCAGGGACTGGGGAAGTCCAAAGGCAGCCTTCAGGAAATAAATTCAATGTTGTTTGTCTGATCAAAATTTGTTTGTAAGTTGCATAGGGGATTAAGATGCCAATGGGTTTCAGCTTTCATTGTATTTTTTTCTATTAGTCTTGACATATGTAGTAGACAGTGACGTCTTCCATGTTACTACCAAATATTATTTTGATGGTGTTTTTGCCAACATTTTCAGCACAAAATGTTGATCAGAGGGCAGTTCACGGACACCGCAAACTGCTGAGTGCGGTGTATGTCGTGCCAGTGTGTGCACTGTGCAGCAGGCGTGGGGGTAGGGGATGGGTAGGTGGTTATGACGTCACGGCTGCGTGCGGTGGACGGTCCCCTGTGGCCGGTCCGGACCGGCCACAGCGGTCGCTGTGTGCGGTGACGGAAGGCTGACGTAGGGACGCGGTGGCACACAGGGTCCGTGAACAGCCCTCTGCTGTTAACCTTTCAGATGATGGAGCCACTTCTTTTGATTGGAGGAGCTTTTGTCAGACTTTATTTGATGCACAATGACTTCTTCAAGAATCTTTGTGATGGCACAATATTTTCCACTCCAGTGTCATCATGGAAGAGAGGTGAGATTAGGACAATACTTTGACGATTTTTTAAGGTTGTTGATTGATTTCAGATGCAAACTAAAATATTTGTGAATTAGATCATAGAATAAAAATTGTATTGCTGCATTCTATTTGTAATTTGAAAAGCTTTTGAACATGTTAAAGGAGTACTGGAAGAGGTTATCTACCTCACTTAATCTAACTTAACATCTACCGAGCACCAACATCTAACCTCAAGCATAAGCTACCAGTACTTTGACCAAAGAATAATCAATGAAGCATGTCAGAAAACAGGTACTTATTTGATTTCCTGTATCTGCAGGACTGTTCTTCATGAACTGAAGTTGAAATGTATTTCTTCTTTCAGTGACTGAGGGATCATACCTGATGGGACAAGATATATCCCCCTACGAAGGTGACATGGTCCATGAGCCACCATTAACCTTACTGCTGTACAACCTCCTTCTGCAAAACTTTGCTGGCATTGTACCTGCCTTCTTCATCTTGGTAGATCTACTCACTGCTCACATTCTCAAGAGGACAGCTGAGAAATTTGTTCAGAAACAGGTAAGCTCATGCTCTGTCATGTAAAAAGGAAAAACATGTTTTACTCATCTTCCTTATGATTCCTTATCTTTTCTTACTATACTGATTGCAACATAATTGTCAGTGAATGCTGTTCTCACCTATGTTCTGTATGATATGTGTCAAGGCTCAATGTACTTGAAAAATGTGTAGCTATTCTTAACACCATAATACTCTTTGTTCAGTGTAATTTCATTCCACCACAAACCACTATCTTGAAGAGCACACATGCAAAAATCAAATCACATTCACCTACACACTGACAGTGTGACACATCCCTGGTGAAATGACCATCATGTCCCTGTTACAGGAGAAGCCAGCTGTCCGTTCCGGCGCCGCTCCACCCTCCTCTCCGTCCCCCGTGCCGCTGATCGTGGCCGCTGTGTACCTGTTTAACCCGTGTACGGCGGTGAGCTGCGCTGCGCTCAGTACGGCCGGGCTCCACCAGCTGCCGCTGGTGCTAGTCTTCTACGCGGCCGTTACTGGTCAGTTGGCGGGAGGGACGAGTCCGGTCAGGTAAGGGCAGGGGAGGGACAAGGGTCCGGTCAGTGAGGGTCAGGGACTTGGTGAGAAACGGGATCTGAGTCAGTGGAAGACAGGTCGAGAGGGATAGGGTACAGTCAGTGGAGGGGCGGGGGAGAAACAGATCCAGTCAATGGAGGACTTGGGGGACCACAGGGGAGCTGGGACGAGGGGAGATGGCGGGGCGAACGGGGCTGACGGACGTGTGGAATGTTTACTGACATCCGACGAATGTCCTTGAATGTTTTTGGAGTTTGGGAATTCTCAGTATTCCAAAGATCATAATAAAATTTATGCTCCTAACCGAAAGCGGTTTAAATAGAGCTAGTATGTCAGTCGGTGTGAAAAAGCACCGAGACGTTATCACCCATGCGGTTGACTGTTGGCCGTGTTCAGTGTTGACTGTGTTCACAACGCAATTATGTGTCGTTTGCCGACGTGACCCGTCGCCCGCCCGGCGCCCCAGAGCGCTGGTAGGCGTGCTGGTGGGTGCGCTGGTAGTTGTGGTATGTGACCCGTGGCCCATCTGCCGCCCCAGAGCGCTGGTGGGTGTGCCTGTGCAGTCTGTCGGTCAGCTGCTACCTGGACCTGTACCCGGTGGTGCTGCTGGCGCCACTGCTGGCAGCTGTCGGCGCCGCCGGCCGCAGCCGCCTGCTGGCTGCCCTGCTGGCCGCTGGCTGCTGGGCCGGCCTGCTGCTGCTCTCGGCCCACGCCCTGGGCGACTGGAGCTTCCTCCGGTCCACCTACGGCTTCATGTACGTACAGCTGCCGCCGGGAGGTCGTGGAGAGGATATGGGAGGTGGGGTGGGTGGTTGAAAGTTCAGACCTTCGACTCGACGTCTTGCTTATGTTGGTTAATGTGCACACTGCACCAACTTAGAGATTCATGCCCGTGGATTAGTTTCATGATCGTGTTTCATGCCCGTGACCCCATGAACCGCTCCCCTGACAGTCTATGGACGTGGGACCTGTCGCCGAACGTTGGCCTCTTCTGGTACTTCTTCACCGAGATGTTCCAGCACTTTGAGTCGCTCTTCATTGCCACATTCCAGATCAACGCGTTCATATACGCGGTGCCACTAACACTGCGGTAAGTGGTCCAGGGCTTCCTTCGTGATATGTGCGTTCCCACATGGTTCAAGGCTCAGGCTGTGATATGTTGATGCCGATTTATAAAACAGAACGATAACATTCGTCTCATCAAATGTAGTTAAATAAAATATAAATGGTCGCCATATGAACGAAAGGGAGGGTGGTGATACATGGCCGTGGGTAGTATTGCGCTGGCTCGTTGCACATTGTTCAATGCTCATGTATCCGTGACTGTTGCTTGGCAAATAATTATTGCGACATAAACGTAGAGTTTCGCAAACTATCGCGTCTGCGCGTTTGAAGGAGACCCATGATCAGGTACATGGTACCGTTGCGGTTACGTCCGTCGCGAGCGTTACCCATACCCGTCTCGACTCCACCCAGGTTCCGCGGCCAGCCCGTGCTGGTCATGTTCGCCCTACTCGTGCTCATGGTGACGTTCAAGTCGTACCCGAGTGTAGCCGAGGCCGGCCTCTACCTAGCCCTGCTGCCGCTCTGGCGGCCCCTGGCGCCGCATGCGCGCTACGGCTTCGTCGTCACGTGCTTCTACGCGTCTGTGATGGTGCTGGCGCCCGTCATGTGGACCCTGTGGATCCACGCCGGCTCAGCCAACGCCAACTTCTTCTTCGCCGTCACACTGGCCTACAACGCGGCGCAGGTGAGCCGAAAGTGGCGCAACTGGGAGATAGGGCGATGTGACGCCGGGGTTTGGTGACTGAGCGTGTTGGAGAGTGGTTTATCATTTACTTTTTGATAGATCAGCCTGGGGTGGCCGATGTGGAAATGATCGAAGGCTTTTTTTGTCCTGCTTTTCTGGTAGCATCCATGACACCAGCCTCCTCCATTTTCATGCCTTCAAATGACAGTCGATCTTGTGATAACTTTTTACCTGGTATCGGTACTGTTGTCAGTTTTAGATGGGATGGAATTGACTGGTTCTGGTGACCGTTGGGCCACTTTTTCTGTTTATATGCTGTCGCTGTTGCAATCCAAACCACCAAACCCCAAAGTAAAACTCGTTCGGGTTAGCCCGGTGACTGACGTCCTCCCGCTCTCGACAGATTTTCCTGGTGACAGATCTGCTGTTCGCTCAGCTGAAGCGGGACCACGTGCTCACCCACGGCACCGCCAAAGAGGTGGAAGGAAAGCCGGCCAAGCTCGTTCTCTGTTGATCTCACGCACACAAAGACACAGGGTAGGGCTGTGAGGCGCTCCAGCTGCTGCCCGGTCGGTCGTCTCCGCTGTCCAGTGCGCGAACACAGGAAGACACTGCCTGTGTTCGGCCGGTAGTACCGGCTGCCCAGTCTGTCACTGGTTATGACCAGTGATGTCATGACCAGCGGTCACCAATGACGCGATGACCATTAACGACCATTGACGACCATTGACGTCATGATCAGTGACGTGAGGTCCAGTGATGTCAGTGAAAAGAGTCAAGCACAATGCACCGGGTCGCTGTTTGTCAAACGGCGCGGCATTTTCCAGAATGGACCACTGCTGTTGGGTCCGTTGCAAAGTGCAGCAAGGTTGTGAGTGTGATCCGTGATTTAGTCCAGCCCGCTGCTGCTGACTGGAAGCTAAGGCTAAATGGCACGGACGGCTAAGCTGAGATTCGGGGGTTCGCGTAGCTCATTTTCTAGTGAGTCCTGCATATAATTAATTGCGGTACCGCTAGTCAGTGCGATTCTTCAACTGAGATGCCGACGTATCTCGCGAGTCCAGTGAAGCCCATGCCTGATGCTGCTCCCGGCAGAGTTACGTGGTCATTCCGCTGCGCGGTTTTGTCAGTCAGTCACTTTGTTTGTTTCAATCATCACGTACGGTAGTCGTCGCGAACTGCAGTCACGTTTGCCGCATATTTGTCACGCGACGCCGCCGTCACTTGTTCTCCCGTCGCCATCGTACCTCCATCATGTCACCATTGTGTCTGTTTGTATGGCACGGGTAATAAATACCTGTCGCCAACAGCGTTCGCTGTGTATTCCTACCAGCAGATGAATGAGAATCACACACGTTTATTCGTGCATCATCCACCGGCACGGTATTGCACTATACATATTATCATTGTACATATTACATAAATACAGTTGTCAGTCTACATATTGTCAAATGAATGGCCAGTACCCGGGGCCTGAAAGGTGCGGCGGTCTGAATCGCGACTGATTCCGCGCCACTCCTTAAAACAGTGCAAATCGCCCCAATACCTCCCACCAACACAAACAACATATTTACTGACACTGAAATTCGGTCACTGGCCAGCTGACCACCGCTAAGCTGACTGAGCTTTATCACACTTCTAGGGCCACAACATCCGCCACAACCTGTGGCGCGCAACGGCGCTCTCGCAAAAGGTGTCCCTACAAAAATACACCATACACCAACCCCTCCGTTGCCGATAAGGACGCATTGCAGGAGCAGTACATCAACTGCCATGATGTGTGAATGGCAGGCCACGCACCAACCTGTCAGTGAACTTCACGTGCTCAGAGGGAAAACGCGCGCTGAGCCATCGCTGACCGATGAGACTCGGTCTTGTCAGTGTCTCCTGAGAAGGGACTGGCTCAGGCGGCCTGCTGCTGCTTCTTGAGGTTGGAGCTGATCATGTTGAGCACCTCCAGCGCTGCCACCGGGATCTTGGTTCCTGGAACGGTGAATGAAGAGCGGTCAGGAAACGTCACTGGGCTGGCAGGGAACGCTGCACGTCCTCACTGAAGCTGTATCCCATGCGAACTAGCAAGAAGAAACTAGGATAAAAAAACGGATAATCAGCAACGTCGATCAGGCCTCAGCGCAAGCAGACAGCCACAGAACGTATGTACCGACACGATTGCCTCGATATACGCTGTAACTTTTTCATTCCAGATCACTACCGAACGACCAAGCGCCCAACGTGACAACAACGTCCTCGGCTAGAGAAGCTCCCACCCGTTTCCCCACCCCAGCCCCGCCGGGTCTAACCCAGCCGCACTACCGGCGACCATGTCACCAACCCACCCCGTTCCTCACCGGGTCCGAAGACGGCTGCCGCTCCACAATCATACAGCATCTGATAATCCTGCGGCGGGATGACGCCTCCAACAATCACCAGGGCGTCCCCGCGGCCGGCCTCCCTCAGCGCTCGTACCAGCGCCGGTACCAGGGTGCGGTGGCCGGCGGCCAGGGTCGATACGCCCACCACGTGCACGTCGGCGTCCACCGCCTGCTGCGCCACCTCCTCCGGCGTCTGTGGGAGCGGCGGGGAGCGGAGAGGTTAGAAGGCGCGTGGATAGGAGCAGACCAGACAGAAGGAAGATTGAAAATTCGGAGATTTGGCAAGCGACTAACGTATAAATATCCATTAGGTTTCATAGAGACCAAGTCTTGTGTTGACGATTGACAATCAAAAACTTCCTGAGAATTGCAACGGGTCTAAGCTGCATTGCTGGGCAGCCTATCGTCGTTGCCTGGCTGAGAGGATGAGTCAGTGAGATCGATCGGAGGTGGGTGCGTTCCACAGTCTGCTCACGAACCTGGAACAGCGGGCCGACGTCCACGTCGAAGCCGAGGTCGGCGAACCCGGTGGCTATGACCTTGGCGCCTCGGTCGTGTCCGTCCTGGCCCATCTTGGCGACCAGAATGCGCGGTCGGCGGCCCTCCTCCTCGGCAAACTCCTCCACCTGGAACACATCGACCGGTCGGGTCAGGCGGTCTGATTGTAGCGGAGAGTGGCTGAATCCGACCCTAGTGACTAGCACTATAAAAACTTCAGTTCAACCATAGTGTAATAAATAATGTTATTTATTACACTATGGTTTTACCTAGTCGCTTAGTACCAATGACTAATGAATTATGTAGGCTGTATGAACAATGGTTGCCCAAAATCAATACGACATAGGCCCCTCGTACAAGACGAAACCGTTCTTATGGTGCATGGAGGTTGATTTGAAAGCAGCTGCAATGTCCGTAAATTGACATCCATCGACGATATGCTTTACAGGTGTCGGATTTTACCGTGTTGGCTTTAATTTGAAAATGTTCTTTAATTATTTTGGTTAACATCACCTTAGTCTGGCGCTTAATTAGATTCGGCTATGGTTGTAAAAATAACGTTGAAAATGAAATAATAAGACGCGAATTGTGAGAAGTGGCTTAGGTATATTTTACTTGCGACATGAGATGCTTTGACAAATAAAGAAGGAACTAAATTTGTTCTGCCAATTTATCTTTCGGCTTATCACCAGTCTTCCGAATCAGATAGGGCATGACACAACCTGTTCGTGAACATGGATGACCTTTCCGACCTCACGGATGACGTGAGTTGACATTCGCTCTGACACTGTGAACTTTGTGGACAATTATCGTTGCCTGCCGCTGTTAAACAAAATGATTTTGGGGATAATTAAAAAATATTTCAATTGCCTTGACTTTAAAGCGTGGTTCATAGTTATAAATTTACTCGTTACATCAGCCACTGGTAAGCTTGAAAACAGAAACATTGACCAGGCCGAGTCGATGAGAGTAGAACCAGAGGCACTGAAAGGGGTTCTCTGGAGCCGAGGACGGAGAGCACAACACGGGCCGCACGTCCATCACCGACCTTCTGCATGACCTTCTGCAGGTCCTCCGTGTCGGCGTACTCGGACTTGTACGCGCCCGAGACGAACTTATCGGTGGCCACGTGACGTCCAAACACCTCCTCCATGGCCTGTGTGATCTCACCGACGGTGGCGCGCGCCCGCGCTGCCGCCACCTGGCAGAAAAATACAGCACACACGGGTTATGCGCGGTTCACGAGATATAAGTTCGAGAACACTACAAAGCAGTTATACATAGAACGCGGTGCACGTCAGGACGCGGGTAACAGACAGTACAAATAGAAAGAACGCCGATAGCAGGCTCAGTTGAGCAGCCAGGTTTGGATCGGAAGTCGTTTTCGTTGTATCACAACGGGCATCATTAGGATGGAAATTAGACAATTTTATTTATCAATTTAAATTAGACTATCAACCTTACGGATTTGCCGTTTCTACGCATCTCCCTACCTCACTGTCATCCAGACATTCTTCAGTTTCTTTTTTTCCAACTAACGATCTTGCCCCTCCCCACTCCTACTTACTCTTACAACTCGCGAACCCCTTGACCCTTTTTCAGTTCACGTCCTTTCCCATCCCCTCTCCCAACTCACGGCCATCTGCAGCAGGTTGCCCTGCCCGGTCCTGGCCACCTCAGTGACGGCCGCCAGCGCCTCTTTGACAGCCGCCGGGTCCCTGGAGGCCCGCAGTCGTTCCAGCTTGTCACACTGGGCGCGGTACACCTGCTGATTGTCGATCATCAGCACGTCCAGCGGCTCCTCCTTCTCCAGACGGTACTTGTTGACGCCCACAATCACCTCTGGTCAAAGGAGAGGTGGGACAGTTTGGTCAGCGGGTAAACACGATATTATGACGATGGAATTCGATATTTTACAACTTTGATCATTTCAAGTGCACCTAATATCATTACTAATTGACATTAACTACTTTCAGAGTGTTCAACAAACATTTCGACTGATTTGCCTTTCCTGAGACTATCAATTTAAACAAAGAGTAACTCAAACGCCCACCAAAACTCCCATGCATCGCCATCCCACTACTCCGTCCCCAGTCCACCACAGAGTCCACCGATCCATCCTCAATTCACAACTCGGTCCCTATTCCACCACCCCGTCCGGCCTACACTGACTATAAAACCCAAATGTGCGTTAATGTCCGCTCCCACCTGTGCCGGAGTCAATGGCGGCCTGTTTCCTGGCAGCACACTCCTCAATTTTCAGTTTTGGCCAGCCGGAGGCGACCGCCTCTGCCATGCCACCCATCTCCTCGACCTGGTCAATGACCTCTCGGCCGGCCCGGTACATCTCGTCTGTGAGCGCCTCCATGGCGTACGAGCCGGCCCACGGGTCGATCACCTGGCAACGTTCGAGGGGCATAGTCAGGGTCGCTGATCATGATGATCATGATGATGACCATGATGACCATGACCATCATCAGATAAGAGAGGCATAAGTCAGAGGCAGACTCCGGATTGGGTGTCGGGAATGAGGCAAAGTAAGAGGGAGGAAAAAGGCAGACTAATTGGCAAAGATGATTCCCGCCTCCCCTAGCCCACCTTGGGTATGTCTGTTTACCCCGGTCTTCTTTAGTCTACCTTGGACAAGACAAGGCCCTACCTGGGGTATGCCCGTCTTTCTCGGTCTCCCATATCCCACCTTGGATATACCCGTCTATCTCTCACCTCCCTATCCCACCTTGCATATACCCGTCTCCCCCGGTCTCCCCTGACCCACCTTGGGTATGCCTGTCTCCTCCTGGAGAATGATCTGGGTGTTGCGCGCGATCCTAGCCGAGAACACTGACGGCAGGGCCAGCGCCTCGTCGAAGGAGTTGGTGTGCAGCGACTGCGTGCCGCCGAACACCGCCGCCATCGCCTCCACCGTCGTGCGGATGATGTTGTTGTACGGGTCCTGTGGGAGAGGCAGTGAGACTCGTGATGAAGACACGAAGCAGATAGCGGATGGCCAAACTATGCAGTGAGACGGGTGATGAAGGAACGAAGCACGGAGACGGAGTGTCAAAGTCTGCAGGAAATACGCAGAATGTGATAATCTTCTCGGCTATCACACGACGATTGATTAAGGTTGGTGATAAAACCAATATCAGCTCAGTTAAAAAGACAAAGAAGAGCTTTGCAATGTCTACATCTCTTCACCTGCATATGCTTATTTGTGTGATTAATACTGAATAGTGAGCAGTGAACACTCCATAGTCAGCCACCAGTGAGCCGAACCTGGCGTGTGACCTGTAATCGACCAAGCGTCTGAACCTGACGTCCGACTGACCTGTTCGGTGAGGGACCACCCGGACGTCTGTGAGTGGGTTCGCAGCATCATGGACTTGTCGTTCTTCGGGTTGAACTTTTCCTTCATCAGGGTGGCCCAGAGACGGCGGGCGGCTCGCATCTTGGCTATCTCCTACGACAGATACCACGGCCGTCAGACAAGATAGAATGATATGCTTATCAAATAATGGCAAGCATCCACAGAGAAGGTACGAGTAAGTGAAAATCACGAAACGGTCAATTCGTTGTTCACCGGTATCTACTTCTACATTTCTAATTGCTCACGTCATTTCAGCTATCCACTGGCAGCAGCCAGATGGATTGACAAACCCGTCATACATCGCGCACTCGGATAATCGGCCACCTAGATGAGGTAGCCCAGATGACTCACCATGTAGAAGTTCATGCCGATACCCCAGAAGAATGAGAGCCTCGGCGCGAATGCGTCAATGTCCAGCCCGGCCTTCAGGCCGGTGCGGCAGTACTCCAGGCCGTCGGCTAGCGTAAAGGCCATCTCGTACACCGGGCTGGCGCCTGCCTCCTGATGGGCGAGCCGAGAAACACACGGGATGTCACAGCACAGAACGCAATGGTCAGTATTACCCAAATTATAGCAATGACTATGGGTATCGATACTAGGAAAACGGCGAGGCTTTTCAAAATGTTGACTGGTCGCCTTTTAGAACTCATATTTTGCTTCTGCCAGGAACAATTCTGATATGCTTACTCAGAACTCATGTGTCTGAATCATAAAATGATACATCGCATGCGATAAAGGACGTCATACCTGCATGTGGTAGCCCGAAACGGAGATGGAGTTGAACTTGGGCATGTTCTCGGCAGTGTAGGCGAAAATGTCTCCAATGATCTTCATCGAAGGAGCTGGAGGGTAGATGTATGTGTTGCGAACCATAAACTCCTTCAGAATGTCGTTCTGAATCGTTCCAGATAGTTGCTTTGTGCTAACACCCTGAAAACGATATGCATTCAGCACGCGATACTTGTATATGCAATTATGCATTAGGCAAGCAAATCAATGTGCAGGAAACGTGCTTGTTTTATGATAGTGCCGTACAAGACAACACTCCAAAAGTTCAATCAGAATGATGAAAAGTGATCAGCGAAGCAATCGCAAGTCTTACTTTGTTTGGAAGCTGCATCAATCAACATAGATTGATGTTCAAGACTCGACTTAAATTTTATTTATTTATCTCAGAGATTCGTTCCGCCGTACCTGTTCCTCGCCGGTGACGATAAACATGGCCATGATGGGGATGACCGCTCCGTTCATGGTCATCGAGACGGACATCTTGTCCAGCGGGATGCCGTCGAAGAGCGTCTTCATGTCCTCCACAGAGTCGATGGCCACGCCGGCCATGCCGACGTCGCCCGAGACGCGCGGGTTGTCAGAGTCGTAACTGAAGATCAGCGAGCAGTGTCAGAGGAATTGGACGCATTCCATGCAATCTATTATATTCGTATCATATTACTATGTCCTCAAAACACTAATGAAATAATGAGCTTGCCAATTGCCATGTATGTACCAACCAGATAACTAAAAGAGCACCGATGCATTTTGCAATTCAATGAAGCAGCGTGTATGACTGATCTGACCCAACATCGCTATCCATATATGTAAAACACATTCTTTATCATTAAAAATAATCCATGAATACGTAAACAGACCAACAATATGAATAAACTGCATTCGCACCTCTTGTAACAATTAACTCATAGCAGTGACCCAACAGACCGTAGCATTAGCCAAAGTTCTGGGATGGTCGCATTTCCTATCGTACCCGCAGTGTGTCGCCAGATCGAAGGCCACGCTGAGTCCCTGCTGTCCGGCCTTGATGTTTTGCCGGTAGAATTTGTTGCTCTCCTCGACCGTGGAGAAGCCGGCGTACTGACGAATGGTCCACGGCCGCTGGGCGTACATTGTGGGGTATGGGCCGCGCGTGAACGGAAACTGACCCGGCAGCTCGGCGGAAACACTGCCAACACATGTCCAGCGGGAGCAGGTGGCAAGTGGAACGGTCAGCTTACGTACCTCTTGGTGCTGGAAATGGTAATGACAATGCTGGCGAGATTATGATGGCTTGTAACTATATTTCACACTTATCCCACCAAACCATCTTGTACATATTATTCCAGGCGCCGTTGGGGGTCACAGTCAACTTCGCCATGGGATGGGGGAGGGGGGTATTTGGCCATGCCCGGTTATCTAAAAAAAAGTTACTAAGACGCAGGAAAAGCGACGACAGGTAACTCTCTATGAGCTCTTTCAAAACTAAACAGCTCATGTTCACTCAGGCCAATGCTAAGGTCGCTGAAGCTCGCCAAAGGTAAAATTTAATGTAAATTTTGTTCGAATTTGATATTTTACCAGTCAGCGTACAAGGCGTAAACCAAAAGAGCTATAGTGTAGCGGAAAAGCGCAACCGATTTCAAAACTCTCTCGCTACATGCCCACAGGTACGAAACCTACGAAAAAGCAGATTTTGTTGAAACATAAACAATTATTCTGCAATAGCTTTGGTCTCAATCAATGTATATCATTTCTTTTGCCACCACCATGCTTATCTCCTCTAGATGCGTCCATTGAACAAGTTAAATTTAACAGGCCAAAACTGGAATTTTTTCCTCAGGCTAGTCATGACACATGACATGATCAAAAAGGACATATTACATGGATTTGTAACCCTCGCTGGCACAGGCCATTTTGCGTCCTTGGGGGGATTGGTAAGACTCGCGTTTGGTATTAATTGAGTTAGAGCCTCACGGAAAAACCATCTTGTAGGTCGTCACGAGATGAAGCCAACGGTACCCAGTTTTAAGGTCATAGGTCAAATGGTGACCTCTGAGGTCAGGTCAATGGCCTAAAAGTCGGGGAAAACGGGGCCTGTTAGAACGTCGTAAAATGTGGCTGTTATGGGGTTTTTCGGGGTGCTGCCCACGAATTTCATGTTAGTTTTGATCGCAGTTGTTGCCTTCATGCATTTTGAACAGGTCGGGTCAGATCAGGTCAGGTCAACCAGTAGGGGTCCTGCCGGGTATTCGTAGTAAGTGTCAACCGCCTCTGACAGCTTCGTAACATGTTACGAAGGTACCAAAACTACTTCGTCAACGTTCATATGGTTGTTTAATTCGAATTCAGCTCCAAAAACTAGCCTAGAAACATGTAAAACTCGGAAAGTGAACCGAGGTCAGCAAAGGTCAGTGACCTGACCTGACCTTCAGGTGACCTTGACACCCACCCCAATGCATGGGACCAACATCATATCACATGTTTGAACGCTTGAAACCACGAAAAGACTGCAAACGCGCCGCTAATGCGAGCCGACATACATACGCCGAATCGCAATTCCGGCCAAACATGGTCTCGAAAAGTAGGTCACAGGTGAAAGGTCATTTGGGTCAGGGTCATGAAATTTTCAGGGTAGGTGTAAAATTGATTGACGCAAGGCTACTGAAATTTTTGTCGTGATCGGCCGCTTTTTACGCGAGTTTTTTGCGAAAAACCTTAGGGGGTTACATCAAGCTCCCCGTGCCGGCGAGGGTAAACACATGATATGCGCTTCCATTGCTCTAGCAGGTCTCTTTCAAAAGTTACTGCCAAAAACTGCTGGTGACCTTTGATGACCTAAAACGACCTTCCAAGTAACCACTGGCAATTAGCTGCATCTTTCCCATTGCCTATGAGTAGAGATGTCACAGCTCTGAAAATTCCATATGGTTTTGATGTGTTCCTTAAAAAAGGAGACATTTGTACTTCTTCCCTTGCATAATAATGATGAGGCCACAAATCAGACCTGCCCCTAGGTCACACATATAAAAAAGATGAAATATTAGAATTATTGGTAGTTGGTACTTGGTAGGTACCTACTGATGCCCTAATGTAATTCACTGAGTTACAGGCTTCTAGGAGATACCTACACTGTAGGAGTAACAGGATCACAAAGCTGTTTAGAGGCATGGTTGCTTAACCTGACCTGGTGACCTGACATTGTTCTGGACCTGGGGACATAATTGTTACACATGATGTAAAATCAATAGAGCTAATGCTAAATTTTGTGACAAAGTGACAGCCAGCTTCCTTAACACATGCAAAAGCTGAAATGTGGTCAAATATTGACCCCTCCCCCATCAGAGCAAAAGGTGTTGTTGTCTTCATTACAAGTTTGGGACAAAACTTGGCCAGGTATTTATCCCATTTTCAGAATTATCCAGCATAGCCTTATCTTTTGAAAAATATTGCCAGATGACTTTGACAGAATAATCTATTCAAATGCTTCACTTCCCCGAAATGAATTATTCTAAAACAAAATAAACACATAAAACTTACTTTTCCACATCCTTTGCTGTATAAATTGGCTTCACTTCTATGCCATCTGATGTTCTCCAGACAAGCTTCTTCAGGGCCTCTTCAGATTTAAGCTGTTTTGTTGCAAGCTTAGCCCATTCTGGGTCCAACCCTGTAGTTGAGTGTTTATGCCTCACCAGTTTCAGCCGGTTCAACTGTGAAAAATCATTAACATGTCCTCGTAATCAATAATGGTCGCCCTCATCGGATCTGTGAATGCAGTTCCAGTACCTACTTAGATCACTAGGTAAATCATGTGTGTACTTCAAAAGTTCAGCCTGACAAAGGGTAAGACAATTGTTTATTTACCAATTACTGAAATTCTCCAAACATTAACATGCATTGCACTAGAAAATCAATATTGTTAAACAGTGTCAATGTAGGTAGCTAACTAGCAATAATTTTGTTTGTTGATTTTTCTTGGCTATTGAATAACGCATGTCATGCTTGACTACTGGCGTCGTTTTAGCAATAATGGCTATGTTTATAATAACAAAACAAGCAAACTGAAACGGTAGGTAAACAGTAAACACAAACTTACAAGGCGAGGCAGTCTGGACACACTCTGAAAGTACATTTTCGTATGTTCTCAATGCCGCTGAAATATCTTGACTTTTACACTTATTTAATTACTTATCAAGTCTTATTTCAGGAAAAATAATTCATAATAATCCACCTCAAGTTGAAATAACCGACTAAGTCGCCGTGCAGTGCTTATGGCATAAGTAAATGGGGTGCTTAATGAAAGACGAACACAATATTTTTTGGAACAAAAGCGTCAGATATGGTCTTTTTGTATGCTACCAAATAAAGTTTTTTCACGTCCATCAATTGAGCAGCAGATTGATATTCGCGAATATCAAACTAAAAATTCGATATTCGGACGGGGAACGCAATAACTCAAGAACCAGTGAACCGATTTTGATGAAAATGCCCTCATTCGATTCCTCGTTCCTTATTGCAGGTTGACAGTGATTTCCAGGTCACTAGGTCATGACCTTCAAGGTCAAGGTCAAGGTCAAAGGACGGGGAACGCTCTACAGCCTAAAGTTACCGTCCGATTGGCTTGTAAATGGTCTCAATCGATTCCTCGACCCCGATTCCAGGTTGACAGTGATTTTCAGGTCACTAGGTCATGACCTTCAAGGTCAAGGTCAAGGTCAAAGGACGGGGAACGCTCTACAGCCTAAAGTTACCGTCCGATTGGCTTGTAAATGGTCTCAATCGATTCCTCGACCCCGATTCCAGGTTGACAGCGATTTCCAGGTCACTAGGTCATGACCTTCAAGGTCAAGGCCAAGGTCAAAGGACGGGGAACGCTCTACAGCCTAAAGTTACCGTCCGATTGGCTTGTAAATGGTCTCAATCGATTCCCCGACCCCGATACCAGGTTGACAGCGATTTTCAGGTCACTAGGTCATGACCTTCAAGGTCAAGGTCAAGGTTCGCGAATATCAAACTAAAAATTCGATATTCGGACGGGGAACGCAATAACTCAAGAACCAGCGAACCGATTTTGATGAAAAGAACCTCATTCGATTCCTCGTTCCTCATTGCAGGTTGACAGCGATTTCCAGGTCACTAAGTCATGACCTTCAAGGTCAAGGTCAAGGTCAAAGGACGGGGAACGCTCTACAGCCTAAAGTTACCGTCCGATTGGCTTTTAAATGATCTCAATCGATTCCCCGACCCCAATTCCAGGTTGACAGCGATTTCAAGGTCACTAGGTCATGACCTTCAAGGTCAAGGTCAAGGTCAAAGGACGGGGAACGTCCTACAGCCTAAAGTTACCGTCCGATTGGCTTTTAAATGATCTCAATCGATTCCCCGACCCCAATTCCAGGTTGACAGCGATTTCAAGGTCACTAGGTCATGACCTTCAAGGTCAAGGTCAAGGTCAAAGGACGGGGAACGCTCTACAGCCTAAAGTTACCGTCCGATTGGCTTGTAAATGGTCTCAATCGATTCCTCGACCCCGATTCCAGCTTGACAGCGATTTCCCGGTCACTAGGTCATGACCTTCAAGGTCAAGGTCAAGGTCAAAGGACGGGAACGCTCTACAGCCTAAAGTTACCGTCCGATTGGCTTGTAAATGGTCTCAATCGATTCCTCGACCCCGATTCCAGGTTGACAGCGATTTCCAGGTCACTAGGTCATGACCTTCAAGGTCAAGGCCAAGGTCAAAGGACGGGGAACGCTCTACAGCCTAAAGTTACCGTCCGAGGTCAAGGTCAAAGGACGGGAACGCTCTACAGCCTAAAGTTACCGTCCGATTGGCTTGTAAATGGTCTCAATCGATTCCTCGACCCCGATTCCAGGTTGAAAGCGATTTTCAGGTCACTAGGTCATGACCTTCAAGGTCAAGGTCAAGGTCAAAGGACGGGGAACGCTCTACAGCCTAAAGTTACCGTCCGACTGGCTTGTAAATGGTCTCAATCGATTCCCCGACCCCGATTCCAGGTTGACAGCGATTTCCAGGTCACTAGGTCATGACCTTCAAGGTCAAGGTCAAAGGACGGGGAACGCTCTACAGCCTAAAGTTACCGTCCGATTGGCTTGTAAATGGTCTCAATCGATTCCTCGACCCCGATTCCAGGTTGACAGCGATTTCCAGGTCACTAGGTCATGACCTTCAAGGTCAAGGTCAAGGTCAAAGGACGGGGAACGCTCTACAGCCTAAAGTTACCGTCCGATTGGCTTGTAAATGGTCTCAATCGATTCCTCGACCCCGATTCCAGGTGCCCAGCGATTTCCAGGTCACTAGGTTATGACCTTCAAGGTCAAGGTCAAGGTCAAAGGACGGGGAACGCTCTACAGCCTAAAGTTACCGTCCGATTGGCTTGTAAATGGTCTCAATCGATTCCTCGACCCCGATTCCAGGTTGGCCGCGATTTTCAGGTCACTAGGTCATGACCTTCAAGGTCAAGGTCAAGGTTCGCGAATATCAAACTAAAAATTCGATATTCGGACGGGGAACGCAATAACTCAAGAACCAGTGAACCGATTTTGATGAAAAGACCCTCATTCGATTCCTCGTTCCTCATTGCAGGTTGACAGCGATTTCCAGGTCACTAGGTCATGACCTTCAAGGTCAAGGTCGAGGTCAAAGGACGGGGAACGCTCTACAGCCTAAAGTTACTGTCCGATTGGCTTTTAAATGATCTCAATCGATTCCCCGACCCCGATTCCAGGTTGACAGCGATTTCAAGGTCACTAGGTCATGACCTTCAAGGTCAAGGTCAAGGTCAAAGGACGGGGAACGCTCTACAGCCTAAAGTTACCGTCCGATTGGCTTGTAAATGGTCTCAATCGATTCCTCGACCCCGATTCCAGGTTGACAGCGATTTCCAGGTCACTAGGTCATGACCTTCAAGGTCAAGGTCAAGGTCAAAGGACGGGGAACGCTCTACAGCCTAAAGTTACCGTCCGATTGGCTTGTAAATGGTCTCAATCGATTCCCCGACCCCGATTCCCAGTTGACTGAGATTTCCAGGTCACTAGGTCATGACCTTCAAGGTCAAGGTCAAGGTCAAAGGACGGGGAACCCTCTACAGCCTAAAGTTACCGTCCGATTGGCTTGTAAATGGTCTCAATCGATTCCCCGACCCCGATTCCAGGTTGACAGCGATTTCCAGGTCACTAGGTCATGACCTTCAGGTCAGTGTTCGCGATTGAGACCATTTACAAGCCAATCGGACGGTAACTTTAGGCTGTAGAGCGTTCCCCGTCCTTTGACCTTGACCTTGACCTTGAAGGTCATGACCTAGTGACCTGAAAATCGCAGTCAACCTGGAATCAGGGTCGAGGAATCGATTGAGACCATTTACAAGCCAATCGGACGGTAACTTTAGGCTGTAGAGCGTTCCCGTCCTTTGACCTTGACCTTGACCTTGAAGGTCATGACCTAGTGACCTGGAAATCGCTGTCAACCTGGAATCGGGGTCGGGGAATCGATTGAGATCATTTACAAGCCAATCAGACGGTAACTTTAGGCTGTAGAGCGTTCCTCGTCCTTTGACCTTGACCTTGAAGGTCATGACCTAGTGACCTGGAAATCGCTGTCAACCTGTAATGAGGAACGAGGAATCGAATGAGGGTCTTTTCATCAAAATCGGTTCACTGGGTCTTGAGTTATTGCGTTCCCCGTCCGAATATCGAATTTTTAGTTTGATATTCGCGAACCTTGACCTTGACCTTGAAGGTCATGACCTAGTGACCTGAAAATCGCTGTCAACCTGGAATCGGGGTCGAGGAATCGATTGAGACCATTTACAAGCCAATCGGACGGTAACTTTAGGCTGTAGAGCGTTCCCCGTCCTTTGACCTTGACCTTGACATTGAAGGTCATGACCTAGTGACCTGGAAATCGCTGTCAGCCCGGAATCGGGGTCGAGGAATCGATTGAGACCATTTACAAGCCAATCGGACGGTAACTTTAGGCTGTAGAGCGTTCCCCGTCCTTTGACCTTGACCTTGACCTTGAAGGTCATGACCTAGTGACCTGGAAATCGCTGTCAAGCTGGAATCGGGGTCGAGGAACCGATTGAGACCATTTACAAGCCAATCGGACGGTAACTTTAGGCTGTAGAGCGTTCCCCGTCCTTTGACCTTGACCTTGACCTTGAAGGTCATGACCTAGTGACCTGGAAATCGCTGTCAACCTGAAATCGGGGTCGAGGAATCGATTGAGATCATTTAAAAGCCAATCGGACAGTAACTTTAGGCTGTAGAGCGTTCCCCGTCCTTTGACCTTGACCTTGACCTTGAAGGTCATGACCTAGTGACCTGGAAATCGCTGTCAACCGGGAATGAGGAACGAGGAATCGAATGAGGGTCTTTTCATCAAAATCGGTTCACTGGTTCTTGAGTTATTGCGTTCCCCGTCCGAATATCGAATTTTGATATTCGCGAATATCAATCTGCTGCTCAATTGATGGACGTAGTTTTTTCGCTCATTATTTCTTTCCGCCGAGCTGGAGTTTCCTAGCTACGCTACGGCTACGGAGTTCGCCTCATTACGATAAATGGGGCTAAAACTAAACAAATATGACTATATCATTATCAAGCCCAAATCAGCCATTCAAATGACCCCTTCATTTGAGCGTGAAGAATTTCCTCTGATGACGTTACCACGGCGCCTTTATTTCCCTAGTGAACCAGCCTGAGTAGTAAAGGTCCTGCGCTTCAGTAGGGCCCTAGGGCACGGGTGTAATTTTATATCTCGCAGATGCACCAACAATCCTGAATTATGCCCCCAAAAGGATGAAAATGCACCCAAAAGTCTTTTACAAGCGTCCTCTCGAGCAGGGCCTCCTCTAAGGAATTTTCACTGGGGGGGCCAGAGGCTCAGAAGCCAAACGTAGGGTACCCCCAAATCCGATTTTCTCATCGGATTTAGGCCACTTATTTTTCGTCACAGCCCTGATGCCATAATTTTTATTTTCATTTTGAAAAAAAATAAAGAAATAGTAGGCCACCTGACCCTATACCGGTGGATCCAATTCCAGACCGGCACGGGCAGGGTGACATTTGGGGTTCCCCCGCAGCGTCCGATTTCCGAAATCGACGAAAATTTTCGGTTTTCCGAAAATGAAACAAAATGCCTTTATAAAAAAGGATTAAACGGCACAGCAATGCAAAAGGATTCTTACCGACCACAGAAAGTGTGAGGGCTTAGGTATCGATTTCCCGAACGCTGGAAACCAACAGCTACCCACCTGAAAACAGCTCACCATCCTAAAAAGCTACTTGCCTGAAAATGACTCAAGAAACAGGCCACAGGTCAATGAGAATGAGGGTGAGGGAAAAGGGTAATTACATTTTCAGGAAATGTGGAGAATTGAAGTAATCACGAGAATACCTACTAAAACTTTTGCCACGCTGGGCCAC